TTGATCAATCATCTATAAAAGATATTAGAAAAAGAAATATTGCTTGTCAAAAGGTCCATGATGCACTTGCTGTTATTCGTCAAGCTGCTGAAGAAATATATAAAGTTAATGGAAAACAACAAAATTTAGATGATAGTGATAAACCAGAGATAGAAATGGAGGGTGTGGGTGTGAGTGGGTGTGAATGGTGGTGTGGCGATATGGGTGAGTGTTACTGAAGAGAAGAATCATACCCACAACCACACCCACACTCTAAAAGTGTCTTAAATTTATGTCCACTAGGATAAAATTGTTTTCGGCATAACTCATCCAAAACATACCTGATTTTGACAATTTTTTCAGGTTACATGGTCCTTAACAAGGTCTTTCTAACTATGAAAGAATCAGGTCTCTAGCTATAAATGCGACTGAGTTATAACAAAGACAAAAGTGTCTTAAATTTATGTCCACCGCTTTATCATGTATTATATTGTTTCTTTGCTTTGGAAAGAGCAACTTAAGAAATAACGAAAGTATACGAGCTTTAAAACTATTCTATAGCTAATAGCCATTCGTGTAGTCTTAATTACGTAATATGCATGATTCGAATGAAGTGACCGTTTCCATCTAAGTTGCTAAATTGTTCCCACCCAATAATCTCCTTTAGCAGACAAAGATAATTGATGTTCAAACTTCAAATACAGTCTTCGAGTTCTCTTCTAGCACAACAAACAGTGGCGGATCTAGGATTTTTTTGATGGGGGGTACTTCGACGGGGAATAGGGGTGATCATAGTCAAAAAACGTGTTTTGAAGTTCATTGGAGGTAGTATCGGCTCATCGTTGGGCCTTTTCTACTGGGAGAAATTTTTAAAAAATTTTCGGAATAGGGCGATCGTCTCAGCCCGTCCCCTCTAAATCCGCCACTGACAATAAAATCTTTTATTGATCCATGACCGAATACTTTATCTTTATTGTGAAATGAAAGTGAATATGCTTGTACATATCCAATATAATCGTAATTGATTTGATTGAATAGTTAATGTTAATTTGTAAGAATAATTCACACAATAGGCTCATTGACGAATGATATCCACATTTATATATGTCGATCAATTTGCTCGTCATATATGTGAATGACTGAACAAAAAAAAGAACGCCGTCAATAAAGATCAATCAATAACAAAGGTGTTTCTACACATAGGCGGACCAGCGTCTCAAATTGAGGTATGGCAATTGCCACCAATTGCTGTATGGTGGCCCGCCAAGGCTTATACTACAGTGTGTTTTGGTTACACATATGCCGCTAATAATTTTTTTAGGTGTGGCAATTGTCACTAATTGCTCTTTGGTGGTTCGCCAATGTTTCTGCAGATACTATCCATTGCAGTTTAATTGTTAACCTGACACTGGACGCTCACGCTATCTACTGTAAATTATTTACACTTTTTCCACAATGTATCAGTTAAACAATCTGATTATATACGAGCAGTTAACGACGATTGATTGACTTATTTAATAGACCAACCCACTTTGGTGCGGATGAATTATCATACCATTTTAGCATAGATAGATAGATACATAGATAGAATGGACAGAACGGAAGAAAGAAAAGATAGTGTAAACCTAATTGATCTTCAGAATTTTTTGATTCATTCATTGTTAAAGCTCTGTTTTTTTAAATTTTAATCTAAAACATCCAGTTTCTTTTCTATCTATGAACAATGAAAGCGGCACTGTAAATTATTTTTCTTCTAAAATTTCTGGCTTTGTACGAATATAGTTTTGTCTATATCAATTTTGTAAATTGATTTTTCTTGAAACTTCATGGCATATGTAAAAGTAGATATTTTTATTCCGCTAGATGAGCACGGGAAATATATAACAGTTGATGGTGGACCTGATGAAAATTCACGTTTTCCTAAAACACTTGTTGCTGCAATAAGAAAGTTTCGAAAATATAATTTAGATACTTTATTTGTTCTTACACATGCCCAGGTCAATAAGCTTATAATATTGTTGAACGACGAACGGCACCTCTTTCAGATGATTTAGCTGTTCTTATTTTACCTCATGATCATTTTGGTACACAATTAAATGATTCGGGTGTAACAATTAATCCTGAATGAGAAAGAGCAAATTTTAAAAAACCTGGAGAAGTTGTAGCCGAAGTTTGGTGTGGATCAGTTATTGATGAATATCCTGCTGTAGCTGAATATATTGATCCACCTGCATCAACTCTAGATAAATTATGTTTGATTGAGGTTAATCTTATTATGAATAATATTTTAGTTCGGTAAGATTGGTTTTCTTTGAGAAATGATTTTTTTTAGATACATGATTATTTCAGTGTATGCGAAGAAGAAGCTGAAGAACCAATTGAACATCAAGTTGGGCAAAGTGATGAATATTATCAAGAAAGAGTTTGTCCTCCACATATTACAACTGACGGAGAATTATGACGAGATGCACCGAAATATGATATTGATGAGTAAGTTCTTTAAAGAAAATCTCCTCCCCATTTGCCCAAACCTTCGGTATAGGAAGCTTTTAAATCTCGATTATATGCAATTGAATGATGATAAAAATTATTCTTTATTTAGATATTGGTGTGCCACACATGTTCTTCAAACTCAGTATACAATTCAAATAGTTCGTTGTAATTCAATATCAGGTTGTGGTCTATGGCATTCAAATTATATTCAAGTATTTCCTCATCGTTTTCTTCCAGCACCAGTTGCATTTGAACGTACACCACGTGGTATCGCAATGGCTGAACGTGATTATCAAAAAGGTGTTTTTTATGGTTCATTAATTCACCGTATACAGTTTTATAGTGTTGTTATGCAACATACACAAAATGATATATTACCATTTGATTATTATTGTTCAAGTGTACGAAAAGAATTAAAACAACATATTTGTTCAATACGTAAACAATATATTTCATCAGCTTATCGAATGAAAAATCATTGTAAAATTCATCAACAGCAATATGCATCAAATTGTCTTGATTATGATGAAGATATGTTTTCAAATGAAAATGGTATTGGAAATGAACATGATAGAAATGAAGATGAATTCAAATAAAATTCTGACTCTTGCTGTTTCTATTGGTAAACAACAAATAATTGATTTAGTTCATTTAAATACTGATCGACTTACTCATCGAATTAATTTTAATTCAAATGAAAATGTTTTATATCCAATTGATTTACATAATAATGGATAATGATTGGCTAAAACATGTACACCTTGTGAAAACATTGGTCATTGTTTAATTTCATCACATGGGCAAATAACAAGATTTACACTTTTTCCTGATCAAGATAAATTTCATACGTTCTCTTTATATGAGTCCTGACAATCGATGGTTACTTGTCAGTCGACAACATGCACTTGAATTGTATCAACCTTGTACATCATTATTATCTTTCGTTAAAGATTTAGTTGATGTTAGTAGTGTTTCATAGAAATGACAGTGTTGTTTTTTTTAATATTATATGTATACTACGCATTTGTGTTTTGATTTATGAATGTGATTTTTCCTAGTTGTACAAGTGAAAGCATAAAAAGAAAACAAGATTCATACGTCGAATATAATATTTAAGATGGAAATAGAGATGAATATAATCTTTTCTCTTCGAAGTACGACCATTCTGAAGAAGTTTTTTAAACAAAAATTCGAAATAATATTCAACTTTCATTTTACTCCGGAAAAACAGTTTTATAGACGATGTTAACAGTGAGAACAGACTTTGCTAATTTAAAGATAAAATATTGACAGAGAGTTTTGTTAAAAGATTTTAAAATTGTTTGCATAATCCAGCTTGTAGGCAACTCGAACAAGAACATAAAATTTTCATAGTTCTAAGGAATTTTATTTTGATAGAACTGTCATCTTGTTGTTTTATGTCGGATGCTTCTGTTCATTTATGCAGACTTTTGAAAGTAATGAAGAAAGGAAATGTGCGTAAATAGATTGTTCATCATAGTTTTATAGATGTCTAACAATCATTTTCATTTTGCTCTTCAACAAATGGATGAGAAAAGTCATAAAAAATATGAATAAATAATAATAAAAAACTGAAGAGAACGGAAATGAGAAGATTTTATTCTTAAAATGTCGTTGATGTCACGCAATGATCAAGAATCTGTTAAAAACAATTTCCTTATTGGATCTACTTAAAATAGACTTTAAACGAAAGAGTTATGTTCAACAAACATTTAGATCTTTCAATTACTAATTATCTTAGGATCTTTATTTACAAAAGTAGAAACATACTCTCGATATTCGTCATTAGGAAGCAAACATATCTTTTGTTTATCTCTTCATATTAACTATTAACGCTACTATCTTATTGATAAGATGTTCTTTCAATCTCATATTTTGTATCCACACCCGACTAATCTTTGTCTGTCTACGACTATCAGATATTTTAGTTGTTTCTTTACTTGAAGCAAAATAATCAATTAACTTCAGTCTGTATTGCCTTTCTGACTTTAAAAGAAATTTAGAGCACAAAGTATCTATTTGACATGACAAAAAGAAGAAAAAAAAACATTGTTTTAATGTTGATGAAGATGTAGCATCAGTTTTTTTTCAAATGTTTGTATAGAGCTTGACTCTGCATTCTATGTAAAGCCATTTGACCAATTGCTAAATTCTTTTCAGCTATTGCTACTTCCCGATGGAGTTGTTCGACCTTCAGCTTTTGTTGAAAATAAGCTATCAACTCTTCTCGGTTTAAGATGGAAAGCAATTGATCATCATTCGATGGTATGTGAAAAAAATTATTAATGAAAATTAGTGGATTTGATAGAGGAAAGATCCCATGTCAGCTCGTGCGCAAAAGTGCGCGTACGTCTGAGACGCA